AGAAGTTAAAACCTGACCTGTTTGTTTCTGTAGAAGCTGGTTGCACAGTGTGGATTCCTGTTAAGACCTGTTTCTCTCTACTCCACTTCTGCTGTCTGAATCTCATTTTCTGCACAGCCTGGTGTTTAGGGGTTTTTATGACAATCTAAACAGTCAATTAAAGCAATTAACTTAACTTTCTAAAATTACAGATTTTGAACTTTCTTGCGATCTTTTTCCCAGTAGATTCATTACATGCAAACCTACAAACCACCTCAGAGCCTGTTGGAACCCTTAGCTGCATCAGACTCAAGCAGTCAATTATTCAGATCAGTTTTATTTTTTGATAGCACCCTGTGCAATTGCCCGTTGCATTGTGCAACAAGCACAGATATTTAAACAGACCGCATCAACTATACGGACTTTACAAAGAGGGCTGCACAACACCGTTACTCGAAAGCACATTGGCGTAAGCGGATGTAGTTTGGGGTATCGGAGAATAACCGTTTTTCTTGCTGGGAGCCACAATTGTACCAACTTATGTGGATTAACAACAAAACTGAGAAGGCTGTGCAAAGTCACAGGGGAGCAGGAACTCAGGAAGCAACGGGTGCAAGGCAGGGTACACCCTGGACAGGACGCCAGTCCATCACAGGACACGCGCACACACCCCAGGCAGTTTTCTCAGAGGCCAATTAACCCACATTTTTGCACGTCTTTGCACTGCGAGAGGAAACCCACACGAACCCAGAGAGAAGGTGCAAACTCCACACCAGCCTACCCTTCATCCAACAGGATAACACAGTCTCTTCTAACAAATTCTCCATTTCCAACTATCAAAGGGTGAAATGTGTAAAAAAAAAACAACTGTTTCTCGTTCGCGTACTCTGTCAGGGAGACAAGCCGTCGACCGGGTCGGAGCACATGAACACTTCCTGAGGCAGGAGGCAGGCGGACAAGGGGGACTGGGGACTGTGTCCGGGCAGTGGTCATGCTGCTCACAACCGCCTTGGCATCAGTAAAGATGGCCAGTAACGGACGCGATAAGGCGGCTGTTTATTAGAGAAATTTAACTTCCGCACAAATTCACCTGAGCCTTTTCTATTATTTGTAGCCCTTCGATTAAGAGCAGAACTACTGTTTTGCTCAAAGGTGTTTGTGGCACCGATTTGCGACTGACGCCTCCGTGTCCGTTCGCTGGGTCATCAGGTCGACTTCGCCGCCTCCAGCCCCGGTGCCTGCGGCTTGCGCCCCGGGGCCGGACCGGTCGCCTGCCGGCGGGACTCGCCTCTCCTCTCAGCCCCCCGCCCGGCCCCAGCTCACCTGTACAGCCGCTTAGTGTGGAGTATTTTCGCCTCCGGCTCGCTCTCCTGCGGAGACCCACTCATGGCTCCGGCTGCCCCACTGTCTCGGCTGTGGGGGGACTCCGGCGTCCGGTCTGTCCGTCACCCCCAACCCTCGCTCCCGGGGTCTGTCTGCGGCGGACTGCGTTCCCCCTCCCGCCCTCTGCCGCCAGTGTCTAGGCACGACTCCACCACCACCGTCTCTGCGTATCGGCTTCTCGAGCTGTTGTCCTCTTCTCTCCTTCTCCCTCGGGTCTCTCTGCGGGACCCGGGACGGGGAGGGGGGTGCCGCCGCCCTTCCTTGCTCTTCCCCGCCGTCTTTTCCTCAGCTACCCCCCGGTCTGCTCTCAGTTCCCAGCGTCAAGCCCAGAGCGGCCATTACTACTCACGGGCGACCGCTCAAACATCGCGAGATCTCGGCTGTGTTTTCCGCTTTACTCGTGAAAGCGCTGCTTGTCACTGCCACCTACTGGAGTGGCGGGTACCGCCATCTGAAAGTGAACATCTCTAGCCTAATCCCTTGGCATAAGGTTATACGACACGGTATTGCGATGATGATAATAATAAAAAGAAACTTTGTTATATATTGCGCTTTTAAGAGTAGCTTTTCAAAGCGCTTTACGGTAAGAATAAAAACAATGATAGGAGATAAAAAAGTTAGTGCAATAATACTGGAACGCAACGGGGGCTCAGGCGGGCGCCCTTGCCGCATTAGGTCGGCCCCCCACCATCGGGGGCTCGAACCCGGGACTCCCGCGTCTCTCTGCAGCGACCCAGCCCGGTGAGCCAAAGAGAGATCTTGCCACAGCTCAATAGCTGTAGTCCTGCTATCACAGGGATGGGCGGTGACGTCACCTGCTCTGGTACGCCGGCTCTTACACAGTGCCTGTCGGCCGTAAGCGTTACAATACAAAGGGTTTAGAAGCTGTAGAAAATGCCATGGTGCAGCACACAGACATGAATTAGATAGATAGATAATACTTTATTAATCCCGTAGTGAAATTGATGTGTTACAGCAGTCCAGCCCAAGACAAGCAAAAAAGGCATCAGAATAGTTATAAAACAAAAGACAACAAAATAAATAAATACAAAGGTGTGTGCAAAATGTGCTGATCATAGTCACTGTAAAAACAATAAAATATGTGCAAAAT